GTAGACGTCACGACGGCCAACGTCTTCAGCGCGGCGCCAGTCCCTCACGCGCCGCGTTTCAGGAACCTGTCACCCCGCGTCGGCCCCGTCCTGTCCGCCGACCTGCGACGGCCGCGCACGGCGCGCCATGGTCCGACGTCTCATTTCCAGGATCACACTATCAGGCTATCTAGTCGCTGACGTCGAATAATCGGACCATGCGCCTCACGCCTCAGCACCCGCCACGCTCTTGCCGCTCGCGACATCGTCCCGTCCATACCGCACGTGCCCGCGCCCGCATCCACCAACTGTCGACTTCTCACACCGTAAGCACGGCGTCAACCAAAGCAACCTCGACTCACAAACAAACTCACCATTGCAGTGCTTCAGCATGCTCCAACTTCGGCCAGCGTACCTGCAATATACATAACGGTCAGTGGACACAGCGGGTGCAGGTGTCATAAGCAGACACCACCTGAACCATCAATACAGCGGCAGATGCGTGACCAGGCGATGACGGCCCCCGGCCCTCCTTATATCCCTCCCGTGACTCCTTTCCTGCATTGCAAACCCACGCACGGACGCTCCCTTCTCCGCGTCATGGCACCCGGTCCCGCCGTGTACGTATCGTAGCCGTTCGCGTAGCATCCTGTAACACCCTAGCAACGCGCATCTCTGCCGGGGCGCTCTCGCCGCGGCACCGTCCACCGCCGAAAACAACATGCATCCCTGTACAGAGAATCCACCAATGACAGGATGTGCACGCACGCCTATGTCCGCGTCCGTGTCCACGCCCTATTCTGCGTTTCGTGTGCGCGGCGCGGGCAGTTGTCTGCCTGGCAACCCACCCGCCGGGCAGCGCGCGGGCTGGCGCCGCTCCCGGGGGATCTTCAAGTCAATGGGCAGAACGAGACTCGTGCGTCCGCTAACAAGACATCATGCCGGCGCGTCGTCAGCGCGCGATCACCACCGCAAGCGTCAGCAGACAATCCCGCCCCCTGGCCCGGTCACCGCACGTCCTGGCGTCCACATACGGCCCTGTCCTGAGCGAGGCTACGGCATGACACGGCCTGCTCGGCGGGACACGCACTCTGCATATTGCGCCGTCTGCGCCGTCTGCAGTGGGGCGAGCTTACAAGCTCGCCGCGCGCATCTTTCTTGGGGCGCTTGCCAGGGCTTCTCGTGCGCCGCGACGGCATCTTCCCTACCCGCGCACACCAGAGGCGTATCTCAGCACAGAGAACCCGCCGACGGCTAAATGCGCGTGTTTCGCACGCGCGTCGCGGACAGTCCGCCCTGGCAACCCGTTCGCAGGCCCGGGGTCACTCCCGGGAGGAAGAGACTCACTCGGTTCCCAGCACGGCATCCGCGCGTCCTGCCACTGGATACCGTGATCGCGTGCTGCCCGCACGCGCAACGACCGCGGGCCCGGGCACTGCCTGTCGGAATGTCCACGCACAGCGAGGGGTGCAACAAGAGTGCTCTTGTACACGCATCCCCAGTCGTGAGCGGAACTACGGCATGGCGCGATGTGTACGGCAGAACACGCGCATTTTGCACATCGCGCGGTTCGTACGATCTGCCTGTTGGGGGAAGTGCAGTGCGAGGCTTGCAAGCTTGCCCTTGCCCTCGCCCTCTATGATACCGGCACGCAGCCTCTGCAAAGAGCACGCGCAAGATAGAAATATCCTGTGTGAATGGGGATATGCAGGCGCATGAGCAAGACGGCACGGTAGCTATCGGCAACGCGGGCCCGTGCGTGGGTGTGCGGTGCGCGAGACGCAGGCAGTGTTCCACTTGACCTACGCTCCAGGAAGGCAAAGGATCAACAAACGACGAGAGGCAGCAGCAAGCTGCGGACATGAGTTTGGGCAGAGCCCGGTCAGTACGCCTCATGTGGAGAAGATGAACACGGCATATGCACCGTGTGAGGGATAGGACATTCGCACATGTTCTGCTGACCATTGAAGAATGGGCGAAACAGGATGCGCGCGGACACACAGACTGGCCTGCCATTCCAGTGAGAACGTGACTGCAAATATGCGATGGCCATGTACAATGCATCCAGGGCTGCCGGGTACAAATAATATATTTCATTCGCTGGCAATATCTTCAGGTAGTACATGCGGTCAGCGGGAATCCTGCGATGTCCACCGTGGAAGACGGTGTATTAGCAGCCAGTCATGCGTGACCAACTCCACATTCTAGGCACTGTTTTACCAGTGTTGAGTACGCAAATTCACGGATCGCCCTGACCGACGGTCTCGCATCCACTGCCGTGTTGCTATGCTGCTAATTGCCCAGAGCTAGGCCTAGATGTAAGTGGTCATTCGGCCTGACGCGGACAGATGCACTCACCGGCATGGGGATCTTCCTGACATCGCAAAGGCCATCCGAGTTTGTAAATTAGCTGTCTGATGGCCATATGATTTCCGACAGTCCAGACCTTTGCAGATAATCACGGGATTGATCTGATGTCAGCATCAGACATATCAGATTATGTACTTGGAGATAACAGATGCAATACATCAGGAGTTCCGCATCTGGCCGAGTTCCGGTACAGGTCATATATATATCCTGTTTCAGAAGAATTCTCCGTTACTCCCCTTATGATCCTATTCATCATTCTGCTCTATTGCCATGTTCTCCATTTCTGGCCATTGTAGCACCCCGCCGCAGCGCTCGGTGTGTATATGGTACATGAATGGTGGGCTGTCTCACTGTCTACAGTGGTGACCATCTCCGGACATGCACAGGGCATTTACAGCTGACCTTAGTGACCGGGGCCAGCCAATCCCTTGTGCAGCCGGAAGAGGCCCCAGCGTCGAGCCGAACGAGCATTTTTCCTCGCGGTGAGTGCCTCGCCTCTTCGTCTGCTTCGTTTTCGTCCATGTGATGTTGCGCGATGCTTGCGACACCCTCCTCGACACCCCTGTCGTTCGTTTTCTGTCTCCCCTGCTCTGCCCATTGCATGCATTTTTCCCACGGGAGCTGCCTATTCATGAGCGAACCGCGCAGCGGAAGCCCACCCACCCAGGCGGCTCCTCTTGCTCCGTGTCCCATCCTGGCTAACGCCAGGGGTTCCCCTTCCAGACAGCTCTCGAGCGCACCTTACACGGGCATCTTTTTCAGCACCCTCCTACGTCGACGAGGCTGGAGGGCCCAATCAGCGTGGGTTGTCGTTAGCGCACGGGGTCTCCCGGCTTTCAGGTGCGCTGTGTGTGCTTCTGCTGATAATTGTCGTGCACTGTGAGCTGACCTGGCCTGGTCAGTATCGCTAGCCATCGCGGCACCCCACCACAGCGCCTGATCAGTACAGGGCGCTGTCCCCGGAGGTGACCGTCTCTAGACGTGTGCGGGGCATTTCCAGCTGACCGGGCCCGGGCAGCGTGGATCGTCGTCAGCGCGCGGGGTCGTGCGACATTCAGGTGCGTCCTGTGTGCTCCCGCTGATGAACGCTGTGCGTTGCCAGCTGACCGGGAGCAGTCAATGTTGCTGGCCGTCGCAGCACCCCACCACAGCGCTCGGTATGTATATTGCGCATAAGCGGCGGGTTGTTTCGTCGTCCCCGGCGGTGGCCGTCTCTTGCCGCGCCGTAGAGTGCTTACAGCTGACCGGGTTTGGCGAGGGTTGGTCATCGTCAGCGCGCGGGCGAGGCAGATGGACGACATGCTCGCGCGCGAGTGGAATGCTGTCTTGATGTCTGTCCGGGAGACACAGGAGCAAATCGCAGACTGCAAAGCGGTGGTCGAAGACGGTTCCGCAGACATGCTGTCCAGCGGGAGATGGTGGAGAACTGAGTGGGAGATGGCGGCGGAGGCTTGGATGACGGGCGCGGCGGGCACAACGCAGAGCGCAGGATGTTGAGGAGCTCTGGAGCGAGAGCAGGGAGTGTGTTAGTAATGAGACCGTCATAGACTGCAATATATTTACCTGCGGTGACTTTGCATCTGTCCTGCTGTGCTGCCTTGCCCTCTGCTCTCCTCTATTCCCTTGAACTTGCGCTGCTCTCCTTTATTCCCTTGGACTTGCGCTATCTCTCGATTTTCGACCGGTCACTTTTTCCACGCCATGATCGCCTTCCCCGCGCGGCTCTCGTTCCGCCGCCCCAGCCGCCCCGAGATCCACGCCCCGATCTCCGCAAGCGCGTCCAGGTCGCCCGCCGCGCTGTACCGCCGCCCGCCGCCCGCGCCCCCGCCGTGCCCGCGCAGCGCATACAGCACGTCCTCCGTCGCGACGTTCCCCGTCGCGCCCGGCGAGTACGGGCACCCGCCCAGCCCGCCGACGCTCGCGTCGAACGTGCGCAGCCCCAGCTCCAGCGCCGCAAGCACGTTCGCCACCCCCGCGCCGTACGTGTCGTGGAAGTGGCCCTGCGCACGCGAGTGAGCGCGTCAGCGGGACGGAACCAACGAGCATGCGCACCGCGAGCTGGGCCGGCGCCACGCCGTGCGCGCCGCCCATCACCGTCTCGAGCAGCGCGCGGATGTCCGCGGGCGTCCCCGCGCCGACCGTGTCGCCCAGGCTGACCTCGTAGCAGCCCATGTCGAGCAGCGCGCGCGCGACGTCCCGCACCTCCTCGGCGCGCACGCGGCCCGTGTACGGGCACACAACGACCACGCTCACGTACCTGCGCGCGGGATCAGCGAGCCTGCAGCGCGTGCGGACGGCGGACGTACCCTCGCACGCGCAGGCCCGACGCGCGCGCACGTGCTGCGACGGGCGCCAGCCGCGCGAGCGACTCGGCGACCGTGCAGTTTGTGTTCGCCTGGCAGAACGCGTCCGTCGCGGCCGTGAAGAGCGCGATCTCGTCGGTCAGCGGCTGCGCGGGCGGCAGCGGGCGCGCGGCGTGCTGCGGTCTGCTGACTGGCGGGTTCTCGGTGCTGAGCAGCGCGAGCAGGGCGTCGAGGCCCTTCATGTTCGGCACGAGGACGGGGTAGTGCACGCCTTGAAGGTGCTCCATCTGCCGGAGGACCTCGTCGGTGCCTTCCATCTGTGGGCCCCCGAGTGAGTAGGAGTTTCCTGCCGGGTCGGAGGTGGAGCACGACACGGGCATACCGCCCGATCTTATATGAATACCGAACACCACTCCCACATGCATGTATAACGAGGTCTATGGAAGACCCCTCCGAGATTCCTTGTGTGCAGTCAAACAGTCACGGCACGACCGGGCATAGGCTAGCGTTGTTCCAACTACACTTTACCAAACCGAGGCAAGCACGAGTAGGGCCCATTGTCCGGAATGTGTCCTGACATGCGAAAGGCATGGAATATTTGGGCTGAGCAGGTATGGATAGGTCTGCCTCACGTTTGTATTGGCTGCGAGCATCGGGATATGTCCTAAGGATGACAGCAAGCAGAACATGGCTGCTTTGGGGATGCGCACCCCAGCGGACACGGATGCTGCGCGACGCCAATTCGCGACCCCCGGGCGGAACACGTCCAGGTGTCATTTCACACTCGGAATCACTAGACGCACCCGGTTTTCGATGACCGCCGCGCGCGCAGCAAGGCTATTAGAATGTCTGCAATCGAGAGTATCGCCGACTCTCGTCGCTGGATGAATGACAAGGGCCTGGAGCTAATTGCCTGCCATATGCACGAGGTTGGCGACAATGGGTATCGTCCACTGTGGCAAATGACACAGTCGCGAAATCTAACATTTTGCGCAGAACTAGCCTCGGGTTTTGGGCACGCCGCGACTCATGATAACTGGCCAGTCGAAGCGACACTCGCCGCTCACCTGTGGGACCCACTTTGGACTGACGAAGCTTCCTGCCTCGATGGTGTTCATGCCTGCTCTGCCGAGGCGCGTGATGAGCTCGGCCTTGAGTGCGGGCGGTATGACGGCCGTTTCATTCTGGAGCCCGTCTCGCGGGCCGACCTCGACGATGTTGACATAGTTGGGGTCGGACGCGGTAGCATATGTGCGCGGGGATATGGCGCGGCGGCGCAGGCGAGAGCAGAGGACGCGTGCAGCAGTGCGATGCGAAAACATGGTGAGCAGTGCGAGGCCATCGCTGCCGAGGACGGGGAGGCGGCTGCGTCAGTGCACGTGACGATGCGACGACTCTGCGCGCCGAGGCGTGC